ATAAATTTTGTAAAATGTTGTACAGTTTTTCAGCAAAATACTAAGAAATTATGTAAAATCCATCAGAAATAAATGTCTATTTCTTGCTATCAAAAAATAGCATGGAAAACAAGGAATTGTGGCAAAAAAAATTAAAGAATTAGGAAACTAGATCAATCAAATAAGTGGCAAATTAGGAAGACATCAATAATCAAAATTAGAATATGATTTTGTACTGACAAAGATGTGAGATGTGATCAATAAAATTTCAGTATCTTCTAATTTTGTCAATTCCCTATATTCTGCTAGGAAATTGGTACTGTCTTTATCACCCAATCCTGAAAGCCTGGGTATCAAAACCTGAGTGTTGTCTACAACATACACACAATTAAAATCAATCAAAGAAAGAATAATTAATTTATTATTTAGATATTTTTTATACTTTTTTGGGGAGGTTTTTGGTGGAATATGAAATAAAATCAACTTACTCAAAATGCCTTTATTAAAAATTGTAAGTTATATTTATGCATTGCTTGGCAAAGTCTCACATTTATTCTCATTTCAACTAAATTGAAGAAATCAGCTACAGCTAATTAAGCTAAGCAAATATCAGCAAAAGCAGGCTTTTATTTCTAGCAGTACATGAAACATTGCATGGCCATACTTTATTTCTCTATGGTTCTTTTTTCATTGATTTTTCTAAAGGTAAATGTTTTTACAGTAACAGAGTGATACTTGTGCCCCCTTAGTATATGAGCTAACTAACTTCTGTAAATCGTGTATATATATTATTTTTTATATAAGTTGACCAAATTATAAATTTTTTTTAAAAAACCTAGGCCATGTTCTTTTGTTAAAAAGTAATTTAGGATATTAGAACATAAACACATAAAGGATAACCTATTATATAAACAATCTACCTTTTTTGTAAAAAAGAATGGCATTTACTCTTTTTTAAAAAAATATATATTTTATTGATTTTTTACAGAGAGGAGGAGAGAGGGATAGAGAGCTAGAAATGTCGATGAGAGAGAAACATCAACCAGCTGCCTCTTGCACACCCCCCTACTGGAGATGTGCCCGCAACCAATGTACATGCCCTTGACCGGAATCGAACCTGGGACCTTTCAGTCTGCAGACCGACGCTCTACCACTGAGCCAAACCGGTTTCGGCATGAATGGCATTTACTCTTCTAATTCACTAAAATCTCACTATTTACTCTAAAGAATTTTTAAGCTTTTGTTGCTTAAGGGACTTTTTTAACAAATAATTGAGACTAGTCTACTTGCAATTTTCTAAATAATTGGGTATCATGATAATAAAGTTCAAGTGGATAACTAAAAGAAAGCTCTCCAGAATATATTTGGAGAAATGAGAAGACTAACCTATATTGACACATATTTATTCAAAGAGGCATTTCCTCTTTAATTATGAGCACCTACTTTTCACCAGCCACTGTAGTTGGTACCAAGAATGATGAAAACTAATTCTTGCCAAGAAAGAATTATTTAAACAGAAATATGAAAACAAATAAAAATGCCAGAGTTAAATTTCAACATGGGGTTAACTACGTTGGAGCACACTGGTAAAAATGTCTGGAGGACTCAGAACAAATTCACATACAAAGCAACATATGACCTGAAATGAGAGCAGGATTAGGAATATACCATGGGCAGGTGATTCAGACAATGAGGAAGTGCATTAAAGGTGAGATGGGTGGAGCAGGGAATAGGAAAATATATAGGCCAGACAAGTAGCAGAAGCCAAAACATGAGCCAAATCTTGGCCCAAAGAGTCATGAACAATGTTCTGGGAAGATTACTGACTAAACAGACTCTTGCAGCAACCAGATGAGAAAACACTGGGTCCTTAACTCAAGCATGGCTTTGAGGGTGAAAGAAGAATGTAGTTAAGAAAGATGTTGATACAACAAGTTTGTCAGTGTCTGATGTTTGGTGAATGTAAAGAGAGAGAAAGAATGGAATGGAGAGAGCAATTGATACCCAGAGTTGAAATTTCCAAAACAGTAATCTCCCTAAAGTACTCCAAATAACATAACCAACCAACATAGACATTATTGATTTGTGTTGAAAATTATGGTATCAAGGAATACATGTGGTATTCTATATCTACTGGATAGGTTTTAGGTACATTAGCATTAGTATGCATAGGCATACTTAGCACACTGGGAAAGATTTCTAGGATGTAGCTAAACTGTTTAAAATTTACCTTGAGGTGTTTGTTCTTGACTTCATTCTCTTGAATTGAGATTGCAGCAAACTCAATAAATCGGTATTCATTTTAACTATCACCAAGCTCTGATGGATCAAAAAAGTGAATTCCCACCCTATAGTAACTCTTCTTGGAGACAGAAAATGTCTACTCAGAAGGCTGGGAGAAATTTCATTTGATCAAGCAGTGAAGAATAGTTTTTCCACATCTAGGAGCATGGAAATATGTAAATAGTTAATGGAGAATGGCTTTATATTAAGGGCTGATATCTTGGAAAGACATGAGAGCACTAACTGAATGGTAGTGTATGGGCAAGGGGAAACGTGCTAGAAACATGATACCATGAGGGGAAAAAGACACACACACACACACACACACAAACACACACACATACACACACACACACACACACACACCCTTAATGTGTGAAAGAGGAGGGTGGGCTTTCTTCTTTCCTGCTTCACTGGATCAGGCTTGGATGTACTGTGTGGCTTGGTTGGGTTTATACCAAATAAAGATTGACATTTTGCTGAGATACTAACATTAATATAAGGATTGGAAACTATGGAAAAGGAAACTATAACTATAAGAAAAAATGGCCTTGTGTTCCATGGTCATTTATCTGATAAACACTTAATGTAGGGGTCAATGAAGCTGCTAACTCAACCAGAAAAAAAATCTTATAAATCCAGTTCATTGTTTCCTTTTATAGCTCAAACATGAAGAGTGTGAAAGTACAAGTATTATGATCTTATATAGTGACAAATTACTATGATACTGATAATAATAGGTCTTGTAAAACTAGGAACTTCACTGATAGTACCATTTTTTTATGGGACCATAGAGAGAGAAAAAGAACAAGAGTAATAATAAAACGGAGATCTCATGAATGTAATGAAGGGAATATATTCAATGCCACAATGTCAGGCTATCCTTCTTTTCTGACTAGAATCCTCTTAACTTCCTGATGCCATTCATGGTGAATATAGCCTATTAATTTATTTTCCTAAACATTTAATGGCTAGGAAGGAAGTACAATATATTATAATCTTAAATAGGAAAAAAAAAGATTACCCATGCAAGGCATAAATATGCCAACATCTTTATACAGATTTGATACTGATTTATTTTTATAATAATCATGCACTATTTTATAATTAAAATTAATATTGCATAACAAAAATTTATATATACTCTTTTATGTCATTATATAATGCTGGTACATACTTTAGAAAATAAATGTTATTCAAAAAGTGCTCATACAATTAAGTTTATCCGTAGCCCACTTATTTAAAAAATTTTTGATCGTCCTGACAAAAAATCAACAAGGACATAGCAGCCTTAAATGACATACTAGATTATATGGATTTAATTGATATCCTTAAAGCATTTTACCCCAAAGCAGCAGAATATACATTCTTTTCAAGTGCATATAGAACATTTTCTAGGATAGACCAAATGTTAGGAAACAGAACAAATCTCAATAAATTTAATAAAATTGGAATGTTACTAAACAATGAATGGGTAAACAATGTGATCAAGGCAGAAATTAAAAGATTCCTTGAAACTAATGTAAATCAGACTACAATAACCCCAAATCTATGGGAAAACAGTCCTAAGAGGGAAATTCATAGCAATACAGGCCTACCTGAAGAAACAAGAACATTTTCAAATAAACAACCTAAATTAAAGGAACTAGAAAAAATAAACAAGGCCTAAAGTGAGTGGAAGAAAAGGCATAATAAAGGGCATAGTAAAGGGCATAGTAAAGAGCAGAAAAACAAAAAAACAAATACAGAGAAAGATAAATACCTTAATCAATAGAGAGGGGGAGGCAGAGAAAAGATAAACAAGATTGGTGAAAACCTTTAACTAGTATCATAAAAAAAGGGAAGGTCAAAATAAATAAAATCAGAAATGAAAGAGGAGAAGTAACAAACAATTGACTCCACCCAGAAATAAAGGGGATTGTAAGAAAATATCACAAACAATTATATGTTAATAAATTGGACAATCTTGACAAAATGTATAGATTCTTAAGTATATGAAATTTTAAAATGTATTAATTTGCTTTAAAAGAATATGTATAGCTATAAAAGGTGTAGTTATTTTTAACTGAATGTGTACCATGTAGGAAACTGTGTTCTTTTTATTGGTGAAAGGGATCTCACAGAAATTCAAGTTTAGATGAATTTCCTTTGTTGTTTCAGATTTGGTTGTTTGGGATATGGAGCTAGAAGTGTGGGAGGGATTTCTCCAACATTGACATCTACTCCATTCGCTTTTTCTATCTGTTTATTTTATTGTAGTTTATTAAAATCATTTGATATTAAAATTTATTAAAATTAATAAGTTCAAGGGATATTTTATGCAATGTAAGTCATCCATTATGGACATCAGATATCAGAAACCAATATGTTGAAGAGTGATCATATATTGGCCATAAGGAATCCTTTCGATTTCCAATTAAAATCAAGACAACTGTCAGGCAATGTCTTCTTTTCAGTCTCTAATTTATCATATTATGGCACTAATTAATTTTAGAGAAATTCCAACACTGTAGTATTCTAACCATAGTAAAAATGCCTCTAGAGATACTTTGATAAATGTGTAAATTTTAAATAAAGAACTAATTTAAAATTTTTCAAAAGAATTGTTTGTAATAGTAGTTCTCATGTCATGTCTTTAAGATCAAACAATTAACCCAACATTTAGATCCAGAGAATTTAATAATTTATGCAATATTACTTAGAAACACATAAACTGATGTTTAAGTGGTTATTCATACCGTCATAAATCCATCCAGCAAACCTGAATCGGGTTTTGGAGGTGCCTGCAACCGCTCCATGGACCATTTTTCAATGATGGAAGAAACTTGTGTATTTTCAGTATTTAATATTCTGAATCCTGTCATGTTAACTCCACTGTATCGGTAGGGCTCTACATCAAGAGCAAAGAGGTCCTGAAAGACAAATGTTTTCATGATATTATCAAAAGAGTATATTTACATGCATAATTGAAATAGTCCCTTATTTTTGCTTGCCTTAGGATAATTAACACCAATGTGTCTCAAGCGATGCTAAACATCACAAATCACCAGATTCAAATAGAATATCCTCATGCTTTGTCAATGCAAATATATATGGTGTGTGTGTGTGTGTGTGTGTGTGTGTGTACTATTCTAATTCCACCAATGCTACAACAGGCTTCTTATAATTTATGTGAGGTTTTTTTTTTTCATGTTAAGAATAGCTTATCCTTAAATATTATGCATTCTTCTTTCACTCTTAACTAACTAGAGGTATTTTTTTTCTATGCCCTGCTTTTTTGGCTGGTTATTGCCATTTTATATTTTAGGTATTTTTTGTTGTTATTTTGTTTTGTTTTAAGAAACAGTTCACAGAATATGGCTTCTAACTAAATAAAAAATATATCAAAACAGAAGGAAAAAAGCTAAAAAAAAAGACTTCTTTTTGTGGCAGAATACCTGCAGCCCCTTTGCTACACCCTTTCTGGCAATTTCGCTATAAGGAATCCTTTAGATTTTCAGTCTGTATACAGTGAATGCTCTGCTTTGCTCTTTGGTTTTTCCAGAAGGCAGGAGACCAAAGCTATCAAAGTATCTGGGTGGCACTATGAAAACATGCAGTACATAAGACTTTTGCCTTTTTTCCTAACTGATCTTACAGACAACATGAGAACAGGGGCAAGATTGATGCCATTGGTTCTATGTAAAGCTTGCTTTGGTCTCAGACAGCTATACAGGTTAGGTATCAGGAATAAAATTATGTGGATCTTTAGGATTTTCTTTTTCAATGTTTGCAGTCAAGCCAAGGATATACACTGAATAGCCAGATTATTATGATCTCTGGATACATAATAATCTTCCCACTCAGTATATGCCCTATATAATAAAAGGCTAATATGCAAATTGTTCCTTAATCAGGAGTTCGACTAGCAGGCAGGCCAGCCAACTTCCCATATCCCTCCCCCTGGCCAGGCTGGCCAGACCCCACCATGCATAAATTCATGCACCGGGCCTCTAATATATATACTAAGTGACAGATTATTATGCATTCAGTTATCACAATAATCTGGCCACTCAGTGTATATTCAATGGATTAAATAATATATTGTAATGTATGCTAAGGGGTAAAAGAGAAGAAGTCAGCAAAAATTACAAGACAGGTGACTTTTAATTTCTATAGTCAAAAACAACTTCCTCAATCAGATGGATTCAGAGCTGCCATCAAAGACTGGGCAGGTTTCTAAGAGGCAAATGGAAAAGGAGACCATTTGAAGTGTCAGTAGAGTCAAAAATTAGAAAATATAATACCTATTCAGGAGCCTGATCTAGATCAGTTTGGCCACAAAAGATAACTCATAAAAGAGAGTAGCAGCAAACAAATGAACAAATCAACTAGAAAAGTTAGGTTAGAATCAAACTAAAAAGGCCTTCAATTACAGGCTGTGTTCTATACAATGCAAACTAGTTCTTTTCTCTTTTTTTTTCTTATTAAAAAATACTTTTGATTTCCCTAAACTCTTATGATTATGGAAGAACTGAATTCTGGCAGAATTAAAGTATAATTTGCTTATGAGTGAAGGCTTCCACTCCCTCTCCACCAGCATATCACTGAGTATCTTACAGAGATATTACAGCAGAGTTAACCTTAGTATTTACCAGTAAAGTGCAACTTATAGCTAAAAGGATCTCTCCAGTGAAGGAGAGTCTTAATACACAAAGCTATTGTGATCAATTAAATCTTAATACTTTGATCTGGTAGTTTCAGCCATCTGAAAAACAAGATTACCTGGAAGACTTTTAAGTTAACAGAGAAAAGAGCATTGGTTAAATTGGTCACTGTGCTAGAGACTCTGTGAAGGAAAGACAAGTAGATTTTTGTTGGAGATAATGAATCAAACACAATGGGATCTTTGAAGGAAGTCAGAAGAAGGGTCAATTTAGAGGATAATATATTATGTTTAAATAATTTGAAATGATCTTAATGCCACAACAATTAGGATTATTCTTCAATGTAGCAATACACAACAATTCAAGATTATTACAGATGGATGTTTAGACCTTACTTGAATAAAGGTAATAACTGGGAACTTTAAAAACATACCATTTCTGTAGAAAATGATCAAAGATTTTTTTTAAAAGAAAAGAAAATAGAATGGAGGTCCAAACTTGGAGATACTCTCATATTTTGGAGTCAGGCAGGAAACAAATTAGTGAGAGAGACATACAGCTATTTCACAGGGGAAGGTATTAAAAGAAACTGGCCCCAAATGGAATCACTTTTGCAAAGCCCATGTCACCAAACCAAGGCTTAATACTTAATCTAATTGCATTTCAAACTTCCTCAGGATCTTACTGGTCTATCTATAATTTCTTGGTCAACAACAGTGAAATAACCTGCCTTAATATAACCTTTTGTCCCCCAACAGGGAGTAACCTTGCCTGAAATAACCTTTTTCTGCATTTATGACTCCCTCTTCCCACCCTTCTCTGCCTTTAAAAGTCTCTGAACACCCCCTCAGAGCTTCTCTCCACTTGGTAGACAGGATGCTGTCTGATTCAAAATCATTTGTTAAAGCCAATTAGATCTTCAGATTTACTCATTTAAATGTTATGTTTTTAATAAAGAGAAATTGGGGTGTGAAATGATAAAGAAATAGAGCTAAGAGTAAGGAGGTTTGATAAAACAGCAAAGTCAGGTTTTTGTACATATTGAAGAAAAACTGTGTTGTGGGTATGTGCAGACAAAAGATAAACATAACATTCCATTTTCTAATAGTGCATTAAATAATATTAACTTAAAATCCAACTAAATATAGACAAATACAATGCAGTAAATTCATCCTACTAAAAGAGCAGCTTCAACAAATAGGACTTTTGTAAAGTGAGTAGAATTAACCACAGAAGAATTTGTGCTTTTCTAAAACATTGATTTCTCAGTGAACTAGTTTTGAATTCCATTATGTTCTGAAAGTCATCTACAGGAATATAAAAATAAGATAATATATTGAATTTAACATTTAAAAGGAGTTTATTTCAATATAATCAGCTTATCACCAAGAAATATTAGTTCTTTGTTATGATAATTCCTCCTGGGTTTTATCAAAATAATATACAGTATAACTACAACAGTGTCAGTCATATTACTTCTTCTCACTCAAAATCCATTTTCCATTCTGCAAAGTCATAATAATAAAATTTAGAGCATTATCTTTATGTTTTATAAATTACTTACCAGAGTGGTAAAGATATAATGATAATATTCTGTCATCATCCCCATAGCTAATGCCTAAGAAGTAAAAAAATTAAAAATAAGTATATTGATACTAAAGGTACACATTATATAAAATATATTATGGGAATAAAACAGATGAAAACAAAATAGCATTATTTAATAAAGAATCAGTCTATATTATTAAGGTTACATTAAAATTGAATCAAGCTAAATCTTTCCTCCATAGTTGAAGATTAGTGGTTACTAAAAGAATTTCTTGATAGAATAGCTGTTAGTTGAATGTGTGCATTTGTGAAGCTTACTGCTTTGCATATAAGAAGAAATTTCATTTGACAAAACCTGAAATAGCACATCTTAGTTCATTACGTGTGTAATGTGTCCACCACAAATACCCTAATGAGGAACACCATTTTATTTTGATAAAAGGCATTACTCAATTAGGGGAAAATGTGCTGCAAAGTACAATGCCAATAGGAATTTTTTAAAGCATTTTAGAGACATTTCCCTGACATTAAAGAAGTAGGTGTAAATCACCACTGTCATTCAAAAAGTACAGATAAAAAAATGTATTTTTATTTTTATTAATAGGCCAATTTCAGTCCACTCTGTTTTATTTCATACTTTTACAGTCCTTGTCAATATTATACTATTAATTTTAAAGCAAAAACTTTTGGATTAGAACTTCTAGCCATAAGAAGTGTCAATGACCCCTCTGAAAAGAGAAAATGCCTTTGATATACTGTAGCTGTTTACCAATAAAGAGTAGTTGGTGATGATAACTGAAAAGTGATGCTCTTTAAAAAAAAAAAAAAACTGGATAAAGAGCTCTTAGTAAAAAAACAAGCATTTTCAGGTGCATCTAACATCCAAAACTGTTCCACACACTAACTACACAAATTTATTCTGGGCAGAGGTGGCATCTTAGCTATTAAGGTATATATGTCAATTAGTGCCTTCAATTTGCCTCAGAAAAATCTAGCCAGCCCCAAGCTCCACTCAGTTTTAAAGCTTTCAGAAAAGAGAACTTCAAATTCACTGTTGCTCAGTATTTGGGAAAAGCTCAGGTAGTGTAAATAAATTAAGCAAACAAATTAGCAAATAAGGCTACACTGATAAACCCATTCTTTTTTTCTGGATATTTAAAATATAAAACCCATCTATACCTGCTCTCCAAATCCTGTCTCATTTCCTCAGAGTTCCATTGTTTGTTAACCAATGTTGAAGAATATCGGAAAAAGTTTATAAATCATAAAATATAGAATCGTAGTAAATGTTGCATTGCTACATTAACAAGAAGGAAGGTATTTATTCTTGAATTGGTTTCTGGAATAACTGTGTTCCAAAGAGGAGACAAATATCTGGGATGAGGTAACTTTAAAAAAATACTATTGTATACATGTAGTTTGCCAGTGTTATAGAATCTAAAAGGACACATTCTGTGTAATAATGTTACTCTGACTTCTTAATTTTCATATTCTCATTTTACCTTTGCTCTGATTTTTAATTTACTAATCTAGTTATCATTATGTCTTTGCCTCGCTGGCATGGCCAAGGGTGAACCTGAGTGGGGACTGCTGAAAGGCTTAGAAAAGACAGGCAGGAGAATGAAAGCTGGGTCTCTGTGGGATGCTGCTTCCTCAAGGAGAGACAGCACCTCCCACAAGCCCTGTCTTTACTTTAAGGAGGCATAGTAAGGGCGTGGTCAAGATATTTACAATGTTCTCTTGGGTTTTGATCCAACTCAACTACATGCATTCTATCAAGCCCACATCACTCAGGCACGTGGGGTCACCTGCTCAGACCATAGATTCAAGCTTACGACTACAGTGTTGGCTATAATTGTGCCAGGAGGGCGCTGCCCTCCAAGCTGGGACTTGCATGTGGCCACGAGAGGACTGTGCCCTCTCATTAATCAGAGGCTTGAACCTATCCAAACACTGTAGCCGCGCCCCACAATGTGTCTTTTTCTGATGTGTAGATATTTTAAATATTATCATAATTCTCTTTTCTATGTGTATCCTAACCTTGGTTTATTTTGGAATAAATATTTCTTTATATCTCTATGTCAGAATAAACATAAGAAAACAAGTATAAAATAATGAATGAATCAAAGAAAAAGCAGAATGGAAATTCTATTAAAGATGACAGGCCTCTCTCCTTTCAAATAGCAAAATAAGTCAGAATTAGTTATCCTAGGGACAAAATAGCTGATCAATTACATACTAGTTGGAAGCCTAGAGAGAAAGCCTACCAAAGCTCATTAACAGACAAGCACTGAGTGTTAACTCACTCCTGGAATAAAGAAAAGGTCCCCTTCCCAAGGCTGTGTATTCTTTTTTTAATACTTTTTTTTTATTGATCTCAGAGAAGAAGGGAGAGGGATTTAGAAATATCAATGATGAGAGAGAATCATTGATCAGCTGCCTCCTGCTGGGATAGAGCTTGTAACCTGGGCATGTGCCCTGAAGGAGAATTGAACTGTGTCCTACTGGCTTATAGTTCAACATTCAACCACAGAGCCATAGTGGCCGGGCAAGTCTGTGTATTCTTAATTCGACCAAGAACTGTTTTGATATTAAATAAAAACAAATTCCTACTCTGTATTTCAGTGCTTACTTTATTGCATCATTTTGTTCATTAAAAACAAAAATCACACAAACAAAAACCTCACATGCTTTATTACCCAAATATAACACTAGAGCAATTTTCCAAATCCAATTAAATATTTTACTGTCGTGAAATCAACATTCATATTGGGAGACTGGACAAACATCTGTTTAATAAAATAACCATTTTAGAACAGGCATTTACTGTTGGTAGTTATATGTTAAAGGACATAATTTGACATCTGAATCTGCATCACTCTCCAGTAATGAAATTTTATCCTACACATGAAAGATTTTAAGACAGTTATACAAATTCTAAAACTATAATGTTAGCCAGTGTTGACAAAAATTCTCAAAAACGAAGTCCAAAGACTTATGTTCAAATCCAGGTTTTACTACATTGTAAGTATTGAATATATGGCCTTGTACTAACTAACTCCCAACATTAGTTCCCTCATCTGGAAGATATAAGCTAATAGTAAGTGCTATTTTCAGAAGTGTGATTAGGTCTGAATAATCCTGAAATCATATAAAGAGATCTTACTGCTATAAATGATTTCTCTTTTTTTAAAAATATATTTTTATTGATTTTGTACAGAGAGGAAGGGAGAGAGATAGAGAGTAAGAAACATCGATGAGAGAGAGTCATCAATCAGCTGCCTCTTGCACACCCCCTACTGGGAATATGCCCGCAACCAAGGTACATGCCCTTGACTGGAATCGAACCCGGGACCCTTCAGTCCCCAAGCCGACACTCTATCCATTGAGCCAAACCGGTCTTGGCTATAAATGATTTCTTTTGATTGATTTAGTATTATCCTCTTTAGTAGGCAATGCTTATTCTGGAAGGAATATTTCTTTTTATTAAGTGCACTGTTAATAAAAGTATGTAGGTGGTCAGTGTACAATTTTATGATGTGTCATGTGTACATTGTATTGTGTGTGTACCACCCAAAGTTAAATCTGTCACCATACATTTGACCCCCTTTACCCTTTACTTTCCTCCCACTCCCTTCCTTCTGGTAACAACTATACTGTTGTCTGTGTCTATGAGTTTTTGTTGTTTGTTTTATGGTTTGTTCATTATTCCTTTCAGTTTTATTTCTTTTTTAAAATATATATTTTTTATTGATATTTTACAGAGAGGAAGAGAGAGGGATAGAGAGAAATATTGATGAGAGAGAATCATTATCAGCTGCCCCTTGCACACCCCCTACAGAGGATGTGCTCGCATGCAAGGTACATGCCCTTACCTGGAATGGGACCCAGAACCTTTCAGTCTGCAGGCCGATGCTCTATCAACTGAGCCAAACCAGTTTCGGCCAGTTTTATTTCATAATGTCACTTGGTGGGATATGCATCCCTCTGGTATTTCCTTGCTGTTGGACATTGGTCAACTTACTTAATCTTTTTGAAACTCATTCTCTTTGTCTTAAAGTAGAGATAGCCCCTTTTTCTTTTAGTTGTGGTGACAACTAAACACCAGCAAAGGTGTAAGGCGTCTCACAGGAGATGCCAGCTAAACAGCAAATCTTTTTTTTTTCTTTTTCTTTTCCTACCAGTTGAATTTAGTGGCTGAGTTGCTCAACTGTTTCTCTTTCATTTCAGTACAAAACAGAAACATCTATGTCATTAATTAAAAAACAGTAGTTAGCCACATAAAATAACCCATGTACCACAATCTGTTTGAAGATCATCAATCTTGACATTACTGTTCCTGAAAAAAGAATTTATTAAAAGCAATTGCCAGACTTTTTAATCAGAAAATTACATCTAGGAAAATACTCGGTGTGTTTTTACAAACTGTCTGTATAACAATAATACTTTGATTTGAAAACCAACGTCCAAACTTTAAATGCAAATTAAAAAAACAACAACTAATAATTTAAGTAATTTAAACATTACCTGTTTCAAAATGCCTGCTGCCATTTCATGGCTGCAGTCAAAGATTACGTGGAACTCCTTGCCTCTTTTCATTTCCTTCAGTAAGGGCTTTGCATCTTTTGTATCAGCAGGTAGTTGACGAATTTTAAGTCGGAGATTGTACCTTGATGGAGCTTTAATGAGCTCTTGTAAACGAATGAGACCTTTAATGAAAAAGGTTAAAAAAAAAAGAAAATTAGAGAAAAATTGGAGTGGGCCATAGAATCACAAAACATCCCACAACATCTGATTTTCTTGCCCATGTATATGTGCATAATGTAGTATGACTATTAAAATTCCTATTTCAAAACTCTAGATTCAAGGTGATTTTCGTTAAAATAATCACTTCTGAAATTCTATAAGTTATTTTTCAAATTATGAAATACATAAATGACTATTAGTTAACATAAACCATTTACATATGTAAATGAATAGTGTCAAATTGTCTCCCTCTGTACCTCAGTACTACTCCCAAGGAGGTGTCACTGTTAATAACTTGAAATATGAATATTCAATATACTTTCTGTGAATTTCAAATATGTACTTAGAGGTTTACTTTGTTTTGTGTTTTATATTAATAGTTGTTTTGTGACTATGTCTTATATGTTGTTTTAAGTCAGTGACTATTATCCTAGTTTGTCCATCATTAGGAGTGTTTTATAGAGGACATAATTTTTGTAATTATTCTCTATTGTTAGAAACTCTGGTAACTTTTTGTTTTGTTTTTTTCTTTACAAGTAATGGTTTAGTAATTTGGTGTATTTTTAAAAGTAAAATAAAGTTCCTTAATAAAACAGACTCTAAATAGCCTGAACCATAATTAAATTACTTAAGAAATAAACTAACTTTTAAATATAGTTTCCTAGGTATAATATTAAATTCAGAATTTAATAATACCACAGACATTGGTAAAAGCAAACATTTTCCTAGAGCAGTAGTTTATGATTACATTAACAAACAAATCAAACTAATAGAAACATATTTAATAGGTCATAGAAATATCAATCATTTAAAAACAATTGACTATATTCTTTTATACAAACTTCAAGTAATAAGTTACTGATAAAAAAGACACAGTACATAAAAGAGCTTGATAAGAAAAAAAGGATCATCCAATTATACTCAAGCTTAAACCAAATTAGCAATTTCCTTTTCTCTTCTCTTTCTTCTTATCTACCTACCTCTTTTTCCATTTCATTTCTATATTTTTATTTCTTCACTGGAGGCCCAGTGCATGAAATTACTGCATAGAGATGGGGGAGTGTCCCTTTGCTTAACCTTCTCCAATCCGAGACCCCTCAAGGGATGTCTGACTGCCTGTTTAGGCAGTGGGCATAGCAGAGTGATAGTTAATTTGCATGTTTCTCTTTTATTAGGTAAGATGGTATCAGAAAATATAATACATAAGTTCTTTTAAATATACTCGTAAAATATTAAAAATGTAAAATGGTACTAAAACCAAAATGTCTAAGAATTATTCAATTGGGTTCTCTCTAAATTGTTTATAGCTATAAATTTTCATTATTCTAACAAAATTATGTATATTAACACTGACTGATCAATAGCAACTTTAGCTGAAGAAAGAAGGTCAAACTGCCCTTGGCTTATTTACCTCACAAGATTTTGTACAAGTTAAATGAAGACTTAGGGGAGTTAGCCTATCATAACAAAATATAGCCTAGGCATTGTATTTGAATCTCAGTTCAAAAATCTATCATCTGTATGATTGGAAAAACCATCTATGTATTAATATATAAAACACCAAAAAAGAAACTGGCATATATTAGATTATCAATAAGTAGCAGTTATTATTGGTGTTATTTTTATTAACATAGGATGAATATAGTTTTTTTTAATGTACTGGTTATTAAAACTGTTTTTAGAAGGTATTTGACACTGATATAGACTGGAAAGCTAACAATAAAATTTTAATCAAATTTTTAAGAGATGAATTCATTACCAAAGGAAAGGGGTTATATAGTTATAAATTAGCCCAGCAGTTTTAAGTTGAAAAAGCTCAACTCACTCAAAAACAAAAATTTTATGAAGAATAAAACCCATAAAGAATATTTGTGAAGTTTGCCCTGAATATAAATATTGCCAAGGATATTCAAGTCTCTTAAGATCTCATGTGGATAGTTCCTGGAGCCATCAGATACAATAAATGTTTACATATTCTCTTCACACATATACATCCCTGCTAGCATTAATGTAACAGATTTCAGTTTGCCAGCATCCCTGGGGAGTAATATCAAAGATCTAAGAAAATAACTGTTGCTACTAGGAACTGCCATCTCCTAGTTAAGAATTTAAGTGAAAGGTTGTCTTCATTCAACAGAGATCTACTGCATGACTTCTATGTGCGAGACATTGTTTCATTGATAAACACTATGAATGAAGTAATAGTGTGTATTTAGTATTCAACTGCTTGAGATCAACTTTGACATTGGCATTTTTTTTTAATACAAAAGTTATTTCCTATAATGTTTTTCATAATCAGTTTTTGGAATAAAATTGGTTCAGTGGCATCAGAGAGCAGAAACCTAGACACCTGTTTGAATACTAAGAGCAGCACCCTAGTTTTGAGTGATGGCTTTCCATCATCTCCTGTACTAAGAAGTCTAGGCGCTTCTCTCTCTCTTGGCTTCTAAGCATTCCTTGATGTGCTCAGAGATGCTATTTCTTTTTTATTCTATATCCTCATTCTAGGTTCTTTGTCTACCTCATTATCTGACATTTAGATACAAATGTCTGTCAAAACCTGTTACTTAGAACACTTTGAGAAGAATGAGAGGAGTGACAAAATGGAAGATGCATCCAAAACATCCAAAGAATGGATGCTTAGCTACCTATTTAATATGAGTAATTGGATTTTCTCCTTAGTAAAATGGGCTTAAACAAAAAGAACATATTCTAATTACAACACTGGCTATGTATTTACTTCTTCAGCTCTCTGTCAATCTTCCTACCTCCCCCAATATCCTCCTGCAACTAACCATGTTCTAAAAATAACAATTCCTGAAAAGATCACCCTAATCAAATTCATCATATAGAAATAAATATGCATGCTTTGTGAAAAAAAATGTTTTCCCCCTTTCTTAAGGAAAAAAGCATGAGCATCTCAAAATATTTAAATGGTTTACATATAATCCTGTCCTATGGGCCTTTGGTCAAAATGGAGAAATAAAAGGACCCATCTCTGAGATGAAGTAAAAGGGGGAAAATCTATTTTATTGAAAATGTGGCTAACACAAATAATTCCCAAAGAACAATATTCAGAAAGAATAGTTTAACAAATGTGGCACCTGGTTAGGTTATTTAATGAAAGAGTAGAATTATGACTCCTTAAAACAGCCTTTTAATTAAAATGCCCATTTTCCCTAATGCAATTAGTTGATGTAATGGTAATAAAAAAGAAACAATCTGCCCAGATGGGTTCCTGAAAACCTTGCAACAAAGAAGAGCTGCGCATCGCAATTACCACTTTATTTTGGAAGATGAGCAACATTCTACTGCCTCTAATTCCTTCACAGATAGGAAAAATCTTAACCTCTTTCTACTTTCAGTTATTTTACAATAGCTGAAACCAAGGTTTATCTTGTGCTTATAGGGAACAGAGGTCTGAGCTGCTCTTTTCAAAAGTTGCCATCAATTCAGCTTTTAAGGAGACTCCAGAAGGAGCCATTTGTGTACACTCCAGCTGGCGCTTCCTTCCAGAGAGATCAATCACACCACCTCTCCGCAGGCCCAGCCTCTCCAGGCCCCAGGAAGGGAGTCCCGCATCTCCTCCCATCCCCAGGTATTGATTTGGGCAGCTCACAAACTAGAGCTTTGCCACCTGGCTTACTCAACTGCCCTATTTATCATTTCAGTAAATGTGGTCTCTGTGCAGGACAGACGTCCCCCAAAATACACTGTATAATAAACGAAACAAAAATGACTCATCTACATTCAATGGCTCATCACACACACACACACACACACACACACACACACACACACACCTTGCTTCTTTTTTTTTTTTTTTTTTTTTTAGTTGAGAAAGGATCATTCATTGAGGGGCCAAAGAATAACGTTTCCGGTTATTTTTATTAGGATGTTTTATTTGCACTACAGAATATTTTAACGAAAACTAAATAGAATATGTATACCAGGTATGGATTTTGTACTGTTTAGTAATACTTTAAATATAGAGAAGAAAGCTAATCATCATTTAAAAAAACAAACAAAAAAAAAAAAAAAAAAAACGTTGAATGGTTTTGACAGGAGAGGTAGATTGGCACTACAAAAATGTTTGTCTCCAAATTTCTGTGAGCCCTCCTCCTGTAGGGTCAGGTGAATTTATTCATCAGTCCTGGGGAAATGGAAAATAAAGAACGCTGGGGTCTAGGAAAAGAAGGGAGAAGGGGAAAGGAAGATGAAGCTTCCAGAGCTGTTTCATCTGGTTCGAAGACGGAAAGCTAGTGATATAAAGTAAAAGTAGAGGGCTGGTCTCCAGAGAGGGACTGGCTCCTCTATGTCTGAGATTTGCTGCATTTTTAAAGTATGCTAGAGCCTACAAAATTCAAAACTCAAAATATGTAGAAATAAAAATACTCTAGCGTGGTATATTGAAATCTAAGTAGCAAGTGAGTTTCAATTGGAATCTCAGCATGTGAATGTGGAGAACATTGTGTTGAGAATGATTTTCATATTAAGTCTGTGTTCAGGGGCATGTTTCAATAGGGATTGGCTCTGGGGTGGTGGGCTAGGCATGGTTGCGTCATGTAAAGGTCATCCCTATATTAAAATCTCCTGCTTGATTTTTTGTTAAATTATAAAATCCTATCCATTATATTTTTATTGATGGAAAAGTGTTTCTATGCTTCAAAATGGTAAATAATACAATGGCAACCAAACATTTTAGGCATCCTGTTCTCTACAGAAGCTAGGACCTGCGTGGTTCAATCTTGAACCATAATACATTCAAACAAGTAAAGTCCAAAAAAGAATTCTTACATGAAGTCTCCTGAAAATATTTTGCAAGTATACAAATTTATAGTCTGAAGAAACTCGTTGCAATTCCATATTTTCCTCTTTTCAAACACCTTCAAATCCTGAAAATCACTCTGACACATAATACACATAAACACACACGTGTGCACACAAATGCACACACATACAC